ATTTTCTCGGATACTTCTTCTCGATGTACTGTATTTGGAAGATATTTATCGTACGAATCCATTGTTTTGTTTTGTTTATCGCACACTGAATGTCGTTATAATCAACCATTTCTTAAGCACTAGAGATAGGATTTATTAAGTACTGTAATTTAAAAACTATGTTATCGTTTAGTGAAACAATTTTTATGGTTTGTTGAGTTAATTATGGCTACATTTGAGTGTATTTCGTTGATCATTGTGTGTAATAATTAATTTATTGACATTTTATTTGCATTTCATATGTAGTGTACGGTTAACATAGTGTTCGATAGGGTGGGAAAAGTAGATCCCGTGACCCGCGGTCTACAAATTGCCGTCAATTGGGTGGGCCTTCAGGTGGATGTCAGGTTCTGGTCCCAACATATCTCATTCATATTAGTGGGCATTATTGTCATCACATCGATCCGGGGTTTACTTATTACACTCACCAAAGTAGGCACACATTTATTATAACTTATTTAACTTAATTGCTTTATTTAATTGCTTATTGATTATTTATGTCAATGTTATGTTCAATCAAAACTATATTAATTTTAATATACTTTCTACTACTGTGTAATTCTAAATTTAGTATCAAAATCACTTAATAGTCAGTTTAGTTGTCTATAACCTAACCTACCCTAACATCTCATACTACCTAAATTAACATTACTTAACCTGTTAATCGTGATTCTACCACTAATTATGCACTTAATTTGAATATCTATTAAAACCTTTAAAATACGATTACATACTAGAAGTGAGCCATTGTCACAATCATTAAATCATTTGTGATATAATTGCAGTTCTTCTACGCGATCTCATCGTCCAAGTCATCCAACATAATAGTGTTGGCTTTGGCGCAGATAATGGGCATGTATTTTGTCTCATCCGTGGTATTGATCCGCATGAATATGCCGCTGGAGTACCGGTCGATCATCACCGAAGTGTTGGGCGACCTTCAGTTCAATTTCTACCACCGATGGTTTGACGTCATATTTCTGGTGTCGGCCCTATCATCCATAGGCTTCCTATACCTGGCCCGCAAACAGGTGTCAAACAACCCGTTAGACAATTAGTTAACAAATTTTTGTTCGCCTTTCGAATCGTTATCATAATTATTATTACATTTGAATTAAATTTAATATATATTTTTGAGTACCATTTTTTGTATACTATTTATTTAATTTATATATTTGTTTGTCTCATAGTATGAGAAATAAATTGTTTTCTAAATCATTTAATTATTGTTACTATTTGTGGTTCAACTCATCGCAAACGTATTGATAAGACTATTGTTTTGGCAACAAATTGCAGGCAAATTCCGTACAAAGAGTTTTGTATTTTTGTTATCTAATTATGAGTTCATACACACTGTCTATCGCTGTCTGCGAAAAATGGTTTTGTTTACACACGAAAACTGAAACAATTGACTTTATATTTTTATGCCATTCATTTGAATCACAAGCGCATAAGACTAAATAGAAATCCGTATTTCATGTGATTTGCTAACAAAATAAAAAAGTTTTTTTGTATTTAAAACGAAGAGATAGCGAGAGACGAGTATTGCGAATACCATAGTCTGTGTGCCTGTTATGCAATGTATATACAGTAAGAATAAGAGCACTGGGATTGAAATGTCTGGTGCTTTACGTCGAGTTTATTGACCCAATAATGCCGAGACAGACTTTCTCTCTCTCTCTCTCTCTCGCATCCAATGTCTCGATCACTTCGTGGATGTATCTCTCTCTCTCTCTCTCTCTCGCTATTTACTCAGTCTTTGATAACATTACGTCACATCTATATAACTCTTTCAGACTCTCTCTCTCTCTCTCTCTCTCTCTCTCTCTCTCTCCACTGATTTGGTGGTGTTTAGGCATTGCATCAAACAGACAACAAACCGATAATACCAGTCCTGCGCCGAGCGCACTGTCAGATTGCGATTATTGTTTTTTTTCTATGTCTAGACTGAGTGACCGAACTCATGGTTTTTGACTCGAAATGCATTGCAAATGCCTATTCGAGAGGCTGTGTGCGAGCGCCGGGATGCGATGCAAATCCCCATAAAAGTCGTAAAGAAATTTTTAATTTGAAATTTTTACACAAATTAATTCACCAATCAATCGATCAGAACCTCTCTCTCTCTCACATTTTCATATGCAATAGTCGTGTAATCCATTTGTTCAGTAAAATCAATGGGAAAAACTTTTTCACTACATTTAACCCACTTTTTTCTCCACTCAAACTCTACTGCAAGTGCTCTCATTCTTGGGGGTAGACACCGGTATACACCCTCGCATACACTCAACGAGAGTACGCATAGAGTTATGTAATGCTACCCAGTCTTGCGGTTGTCTTATAACCAGTAGTGTTAACAACAGTAGATTCTTAACGCAATATTCTGTACAGAATATACAGAATCTCTAAGAGTTTATCGCATTCTTTTCGCTTATAAGTGTATAATTTGTTATAAATGATTGTAAATTCAACACTCAAGTGACATAACTTTGATTAACAATCAACTCTCGCCACCAGTATATCACACCCCAATTCTCGAGTTTCGGGTAAGTCTTGTCCAACATTTTTAAAAACTATTATTTATATGTGTGTAATGTGTGTGCAGAATATTCTGTGTTGTGTTTGTAAACTTTGCAATTTTCAGGCGTTCTATATGTACCGAGACAAATTATAATCGATAGAAATTAAATTTAATATTTTTACACTAATTATTTGACGATAACTTTCTCGCACACACTGGTGAGCACGCGATCAATCAGTTTTATAGTGGTTTCGCCACTCAATCCACGAATACTATATATACCTATTCCTATCAGAGGTTATTAGGGTTCAGACATTCGACAGAATATTCTGTGACTATTCTCGCTCTCAGTCCAGACATACAGAATTGAGTGCACTTTTATGCGAAGTATTATTATTATTATTACAACAGTCTGTGTCTGTACTCCTGTCTGAACGGCACACATACTATTGCACAGCACTTGCCGTTCAATTCAGTTCAAATCAATCGCCGACTGAGTCTGAGCTTCGCGTCGCATACCGTATACACACGTATTGAACAACTCTTATGCCAACACTTGTAATGCTATGTAATGCAGAGCCAGACCAGTCTACACATCGACCAAATTCATGGTCTCTAAGGGAATCACTACTCAAATAGTTTCCAAAGAAAGCGTCTGAAGAGTGCATTAAAGGCCATACACCTGTGCTTTCGCAAAATTCCACTCCCACCTAATATTAAATCGGATTAATCGCTTATGTATATTATTTATAGACGATTATGTTTATTATTATTATTGGAGATATTTTTATGCAATTTTATTTGGGTTGCATAATGTAGATTTGTATTAATCTCATTTTCTGAATATTAGGGTTATATTGTATATGTATTGTTTGCTTTATTTATTTAATCTCTCTCTCTCTCTCTCTCTCTCTCTCTCTCGCATTCATGCACATATTATATACCAAAAAAATAATTGATTTATTTATAATTATTTGAAAATAATCCAAATTATTAGTTTGCATTATATTTGGGAAGAAATGTATTTTAAGCACAAATTCTATGTTTAATTTTAAACTCAATATTTAGGGAAATACTCTTTGAGTTTATTTATACACAGCCTTTGATCTGTTTATAACTCACTGTTCAGATAGATATGGATGTGTTTGGACTGGGATTCCGTTCACATGTCATCATTAAAATGAATTTATGCTTATATTTTTAAAATTGATTTAAATACGAAATACAATTTTTAATGTTTTTTTAAATAATTATCAATAAGAATTTTGAATCGATATTATAATTTTAATAATATATATAAAATATACATCGTACAATTTATTAACCTAGTCACTTTTATAGTCATTCAATAGCTGTTTATATTCGTGCAGTACTTTAATTACAAAATGAAATCTAATTAAACGTCTGGTCTGAAAAAGTTTTTTATATTGTATACTTTATCATCAATTGTTTGGATATAGCATTTCATTGACATTCAGACTAATGATTGAAATCCTGTAGTTATTTTTTTTATGAACAGTGAATGTCAACATTAAATGACAAATATACTCATTTAAATCATTATTATGTCTGTTGTCTGGTATGTCTGTTACGTATGAATCGATTATCTCATATTGAGTGTCATTAACTGATTGCAATATCATATAAATTATATTTACATATAATTATTGCATTGAATTTTTTTGTCGCAGACGATACTTAAACAAATATTTTATAAATTTATTCTCGTTTTGTGTTGCACATTTATAAATTAGATTTTAAAATATAAATAATAAAATAAACTCATTATATAAAATTTGAATAATAATTATAGCCCCTAAGCGTTGATAATTTATTAATGAATTTACACATAAGTCTCTGATAAAAGGCTAGATTTTAAGGTAAAAAACTAAATTCACAAATAATTAGCAGTTAACTAAAATAGTGAGTTAAGCTACAAATGAGTGTATCTAATATGTTATCTTTATGATTAACATAACTGTTCTCTTTTTTATGAGACTATTATATAAATAAAAACACATTTATATTAATCAGATGAGAGAGAGAGAGAGAGAGAGAGAGAGAGAGTCTGAGTGTTGAAGAGGTCATCAGTTCCTTGTTTATTAAGACTAAGTTCGTATGGATTGGCGCAGACATCGACTACGATATTGGGTTGTCTGCGATATTATGATGACATCACATCCCAGACACTCTTGTTCTCAACAGATAATGCCAAACATATTATAGCTGAAGAGTCGTTATAATACACACAACAGACTATATGTCGCGCATGGCTTCAAATCTGTGGCTAAAAAATATTCCCAACAATAGCACAGAATAGCGTATAAATGATTAGTTTGACTCTCAATACGAATTATGCCATTATTTCTCAATGCATTCCCAATTGTATTGTAATTGTATTATAATTTTTATGTATACAAAAAAATATTTCTATTTATTTGTATTCATGAAGTATTTTTCAAATGAATTGTTAGTTTTGATGCGCAAAAAACGGATGACCCCCTCATACCTGTGCTCTCGTGTATGCGTGGCTCGCATGCAATCAATCCTCTCATATGTATAGCAATTCTGTGACACTTTTTTCTCCTATTTTATTGATGATAGTAGTAGTCATTGATGAGTGAGATGGATGACTGTCCCCTACTTCATACCCTCTCTCCCTACCTCCCTCTCACTCACTCGTAGATGTATTTAGATATTCATTACGTGTTTATTCCCATCAAAACATGTTAACCCCGATTAGCGTAAAAGTATCAGTGTACGTGCCTAAACCACCCGTACCGGTGCCCAAAATAAAATTAAATCTCGGGCTAAAGGGAGGGCTAAATATTGGCGATCATCCCATCGCCACACTCTTACAGACACCCCATAAACAGCAACACATTTGTTAAGATTCTCGCATTACATGCAATCCTTTTTGGTTATGTCGCACATAATGTAACACTAGTCTAGCATTTCATGTATTTATTGATAAATTTCACCACAATTTGTTGCCTAATATAGCGTTGAAATTCAACGAAACATAAGTGTTTTTTTTGGGAATTTTATTATCTCTCGCAAAATGTAACTTTTGAACCATTTCTTCAGACACAACAAAAGCAATGAGTATTTGATTTTAGGTTAAATATTATGTAATACATGTTCTCATAGGCATTATTGACCTCAAACTCTCTCTCTCCCTTTCTCTCTCGCTTTAACTACCGGTGCGCTCGTGTCTCGTCTAGTATTTAATTTTTTATGTCTGGTCTCGATATGTAAGCCAAACACAAACGCAGTTCAATAAATTGTTGGGAAAAAAATAATTACTATTAAATTATATAATAGCATATTTCACAATAATATTTGTTTTGCCTATCACACATTGTAATACAATACATATTAATGAATGCTTTATTTATTGCTTGTCTTTATAAAGAAAAATACAATTAATAAAAGATTATCAAAACTTTTTCCAACGATAAATAAAATCAAAAGTAAATGTCATTTTAATAACGAGACTAAAAAACAATTTTACAATTCAATTGTCGAGTTCAGTGAACTGCCAGACATAGATATCCTCGCAATTCCTTTACTGTGTTTAATGTTTATTATGAAATGCAGTCAAAACTTAACACAAATTCATTT